TTATTACCTTTTATTTAGCGTACCTGTCTTGAGAGAAAAGTGAAAATCACATTTTAAATTTTAAAATATTAATTGGAATTCAATCAGGGGCCAGGAATATATTATATGATTACTAGACAAATATAAAGCACGTGTAGAACTGAATCTAGAAGACATGGGGTACAGGGGAGCCTTTTCCAAGCTGCAAGTGCCAGAAATCTTGCCCACCCACAAAGCCATGAAGTTACCCACATTAATTGTGTAAGCAGTATAGTATTTGATAGGTGGAAATTTACTACCTTTTTTAAAACTGAAAGATACCAGTGTGTATGTGGGGGGGGCTGGTATGAAGATATATTTGTCATTTGTATGTATATACAAAAGTATTAAAAATGATATCCTAAGTGGCTCATTCCATTTTTACTGTAATTTTTATATAGCACATTATAATGCAGAATACCAACATGATGTAGTTATAAGCAAATCTGCAGAATTTAACCTAAATGAAATGCATTGCTACATTTCAATGTATACAACAGGGACAGGCTTAATTTTATTTTATTAAGGCAAAAATATTTACATTTTTCCTGATCTATTATTGCCATTTTACAACCTTCTCATGTAGTTATATAAACTTCCCTGATTTTAAAGTTATAGTTGATTGTGTAACTATACCAACTGAATTTTTTCCCTTGAACTAAGTAGTTTGTATATTTTAGAAGTTGAAAATTAGCACTATGTAAAGTATATGCTTCTATATTTGTAATAGGAAGTACATCGACTAAAGATTGTCCTTTTTTTTTAAAATGGTGACAGTAGACCCTTTCAGATGGTGAAAGATAATTTTGAAATAAATCCTAGTTTTTCACCTTAGATTTTTGTCAAATGATCAAGTATTTCATAAGGTCAATATCCACATCTGAATGTTTTTAAAGGTAATTATATCAGCTGGCAAAATGTTCTGCACATGCTGAATATTCTGGAAAAGGACTTGTATTTTTCCATATTCTGTTATTTCATTTCTTAGTTTCCGTATAGCTTAAATACTTTGGCTTGCTGGGATAACAAACACAGTTTGTACATATGTCAATAATTTACATAGAACTCACTTTTATGCAACATTTTTTAAATTCATGGAATAGATGGTGAACAGCATTAATCTGTTTATTTCTTTTTTAAATGCCATTGATGTTTTCTTTCTGAGGAACTAGTATTTTGTATTTAATAGATCTGTAGCTCAAGTAAAAATGTACAGTCCCTGTTAAGAGTCTCATAACTTGGTGAGAAATTTTAAAATTACAATACCATGTCCTTCAATTAATCTTGAGATTTTTGCTATAGTTTTTCTGTAAGAAAAATTACTATCTATGTGACTTGTTAGGTTCATATGGTATAGATGTGACGTCAGCTTCTATGTCCCTTTTCCTACCTTAGTACAGAAAGTGGATGTAATTATAATCACAGAAGGAAAGGTAAAAGTCCTGAACTTGACTGCTAACCTAGAAACAGAAGTATTTATGACATTCTTTCAAAAAGAATCTTTGTTCCATCTTTATTATATTGTAAGAGATTTACAGGGAAATATCTCCCTTTGTTTATGCTTTTGGAAATGGTTTTCTTGTAATTCAGTCAGTTATTTTGCTTTTTTGTATATTTAAAGCCATGTTGTTAGTAATAAATAAGCTTGATTATTATAATTTTTGTTGTTTGTGGTATTATGTCTTGTTTCACTTTATATGTATTTTTTTCATCTCAAAGTCTATTGTATCATATATCGCTACAACCTTCAATTTTGGTAATACTGATATGTTACATCTTTTTAATTTTTATATTTTTCAGGGTAAAATAAATTTTCTTAATTTTTCTTAATAAATTTATAATTAGCATAATATATTTTTCTTAAAAGCCTAATTTAATGCTCTCTATTATACTTATGAAAAATTAATGATTACATTTTTTTAACTCTTTCTTTCTACAAACTTATTTTTTTTTCATTACTCTAGCTAGCCAGTTGTTTTGCTACTTTGTTTTCCTGTATGTCTTGCCGCATTGTTACACACAATCCCTTTCTCCCTCTGCAAACTCAGAAACTATAAAATTTAGTCATAATACATCTTTAATTAAATACTACTACTTTTTAAATATACATAATTATAAGTTAACCAAGGGTAGGGTTTCTAATTTCTGTCCTGCAAAACAAAACATAGTTTTTTGCACTCATTAATTATCCATTGAACATTCCCATTCCAACATAATTTATTCTTATCTGGAGTTTTAGTTCTGCCATTTTTAATCTCCCAAAGTTGTTATTTACTTACACAATGAATAATTAATATAATTAATGGACATTAAAAATTAATGTTAGGCTCTTTTAGGAAAATTACAATGAACACCTGTTCTCAGTTCTGACTTCCCAGAGTTGCTCCCCACCCCTGGCAGCTCCTCTTCTCCTGGGCCAGTCTACTGGCAGCTTCATGGTGCAGTGCTTCATCCCTGTTGTATCCTGTCATTTCTTCTCCTGCTAACTTGTTACTGACATTTCTACTTTGCATTTCTGTGCAGTTTAGTTCTCTGGGGTGTTGTAACTGCAAGTTAGAATGGTCTTATCTTTTTTGCACACTTGGTGATAATTTTTCCCACAATCTAGCTTGTTACCCTTCTCAGTGTGAGAGAATTTTCAGAACTCAAATTTTGGCAGGACAACTCTTGTTAAACAAGCAATGTCTGTTTAGTTATCTATTCTGACTGGTGACAAAGTTACCTAGATTATGCATTGCAGAGCTCCAGGGCATTCCATTTGTGGCACTGGTGTTTCATGGTATCCAAACAATACAGGTAATTACTTAGTTAAAAAGTGAAAGAGTACTGTGAAGATTCACCCCAAACAACCATGTCCAGTGCAGATGGTATAAGGCTTCGGATCTGTACCATGACAGCAATTTCCAAAATTGCCTCGAGTTAGAGAATTAGGCAGTTTTTTGTTGGCAAGCCGACTGCTAACACTTTTAAGTTCAGCTTGCTGTTTCAAACTCATAAGACTAAAAGTAGCATTTGTAACCCTAATTTGTCCATCTTTTTTAAAAAATACAAAATATGAAGTGTGGCTCAGCAAAGATGCATTTATCTCTTCAGCTTTCACTCTTAAGCTTGTAATCTTCTGTTCGTATAGGATCTACTTTTTCTTCCGCACACCCTGTTTGGCTTCTCAGAAGTGAGAAGGTGGTGTACCCACCATTTTTAAAAAAGGTTTGACCTACAAATGGGAAGGAACCCATCTTGTTGCAGCTTGTGTGAATCAGCTTGAAGGTCCTACATAGGGTACAGTTTTGCAAGTTAAATAACACTGAAGGTAGGCCAACCATTTGAAGCTAGTCATCATTCTTCCAGCTTATATTTTTATTATAAACAGTGCTGCCTGGAAAGTTGATTTCACCTGTGATTTCTGGGTGAAACAACTGTATGTGTATGTCTTCTGTTAATTCTATTTAAAGAAAAGTTTCAAGAAAGTTATTGAACAGCTACTAAATTATATTATACACACACACACACACACTTATATATATCACATCATTACATAATTAATTTTTAAAATGGATGTTATATAATTAGTTTTCCCTGGAAAACAAAATACAATGTGGTGGGTGAAATGAAAAAAGAAAAAAAAACTCATCCCCTTTTTTATGAACATAGATGCTTTGATGGGTATTTTCTAGAATGTTTTAAAGTAAGTGTATTAACTGGGCTTTTTGCGTCAAGAGCTTCTGTGGCCTTGATTGTGCTAATGCAAGAGGCACTTGGGAGCATGGGCGCGGAGCACGGGTACCTGATTGTGGGCGTGCACGCATGCGCAAGTGTGAGCACCTGCGCGGAGAGCTCAGGGATATAAGAATGGCGTCACGCAGAGCGGACAGGAGGGTAACTACAGGAGATGCATGACTACAGAAGAGGTGAGACAGAGAGAACATCTGAGGGAGCCTAGAGAAAAAGTGTAGATTTTCCTGGGGGGCTGGGAGGCTTGGTTGCTTCCCTGAACCTGGACCCCTGATACTAATTTGGTCTTAGAGTGTTAATTAACATATGCTCATTTACGTATAAGTTGCTTAGTTTTTCACTGTTATTGTGACTTATGTTTTTTATGTTGCCTAAAAGACAGTGCCCTAAAACCTCAGTAATTTTCCATGCTCAACCCCTTACAATTTAAATTATTTTTTAAAATGTTATTTGAATAATTTCAAGGAGAGCAGTAAAAGTGCTATTTAAAGTTCTTTTGAATTTTCATTAAATATATCCTTATTTATTAGATATTAATTATTAATTACTTTAAAAGGGATTCTTTTACAATCATAAACTTATGTACTTAGATATTTCTTTGAGTTTTAGTTTCTTTATACACACTCACAGAGAAATGTTTTTATCTAGCCTAGTTTCAAATTAGAAATATATTAAGTTGAATGAATTGATGGAAGCATGTTTTTTATTACATTTGACTGACACAAGTCAGAATAAAATATTATCCCACATTTTTCTAGATTGTGTTTTTAATGAGTGTTTACTAACTTATATATATGAGGATTTATTGATCCTATTAAATATGACTTGAAATGATTTACCAGATCAACACAAATTTGTGAGAATAGTTGCAATATTAAAATAATGTGTTTTGGGCCCTCCCTGGTGGCGCAGCGGGTTAAAGCACAGCACAAAGAAGCTTAAGCCACTTCCACATGAGTTCGATTCACGCCTTCCCGTGAGGAGATCCACATGGCGAGGCAGACCTCTCCTAACCCGCCCGCTGCTCCCCTCAGCAGTATACTTTGTAGATCTGCCTGTTCTGCTCCCCACTCTGTCTCTGGTGAATCCTCGCACCCTCCGCATCCCTGGCCTGTACCCCAGTTCTGTATGAATAAATAAATAAATATTTAAAAAAAATAATAATGTGTTTAATTTCTCTAATGTTATGTTTTTCAAAGGAAAGTAAAGGGAATAGTGTTCTAATTGTCACTGTTTTAATTATTTTGCAGGTGCATTTCCTTGATTATAAATCAGAGCCTTTTGGTGAGAAAATGGAAAACCTAATGCAGATTAGGAAATTTGCAAAGGAAGTGAGAAAAAGAAATATTTTACTATGTGGTCTTCTCATATATTACCCACAGGTAGGTAAAATAGTCACCTTTCAGAGTGAATGTTTTGTAGACTACAATTTTAATGGTCAGAACTTGATTTTCTTAAAAATAAAGACTATGATAAATAAAAGTCAGTCATATTTGTAGTAGGTAGAATCTATAGGAGAAGGAAAAAGCAAGTGTTATAACTAGTGATAAAAGGGTAAATTGGAAAATATTCACACTTGTTATCCCACATAGGATTGCCAGCGTTAGCAAATTAAAATACAGATTACTCAATTAAATTTGAATTCAGATAATTTAACTATGTCATAAATTTGGAATTTTAAGTTCAAATTTAACAGGATTTGTGTATGGTAATACAGTAAAACCTGTTTCCTCATTTTTCTTATGTCTTGTTTCTTTTTTCACTCTTCTCTTCCTGAAATTCTGCCAGTTTAGTTCTATAAGCACTTTTCCTGTTTGTCTTAATTTTATTCAGAGTCTCTTTTTGTGTTCTCAATTATTTCATGGAATATAATTTTACGAAAATTCCTTGTTATTCTGAAATTCAAATTAGACCTTTTATTTGCTAACTCTGGTAAACATTGTACAGTGCTGAACAGAAAATTGTTAATTTTTGCACATCATAGTTTGCATGTTTGTGAAGTTAAGTACTATGAATATGTATGTAACGCCTTACAAGTAAAACCTCCCTGATTGGAAAAGTGGCCTTGTTGGAATGGGAAGTACTTACAGCCGTCTGTGGTATCTGACTCTTGATATGTTGAGCAAACTTTTCCCTGTTAATTCATATGTCTGCTAAAAGTGAGAAAGAGGTCATCCATCAAGGCTTTCAAGATATGTCTTATGACATTAGGAAGCTAAAAGCTTACTTAGTTTCTTGACTCTCCTTAAAAACAATAGTGAAGATATTCTAAATACATGAGAATGTTTAAATAAAGAGCTTACTTTTGTCCTGAAAGACACAGTGGAGTTGACTCTTACTTAGCTGTAAATTTCAGTGTGAAATTCTGTCTTAAAGAGCATGTATTTTACTACCCTGAAATAGTCACCAGGTAGGACATTAAAGGAGGACCATGGTTAAAAATTTGGGGAGGCATCAGCGAGTAGTTAGAATTTGAGTGGGTTCCCACAGTCTTTTGTGCAAATGAGCATTTCAGCCCCCAAATTGGGGAGAAGGAGCATATATTTTCCATTTGTTTTAGTAACCTTTTAACCATGGACTACTCACCTGACTATTGTTCCCTAAAAGATACCTTGGAAAACTCTTCTCAAAATAGGGGAGGGAAGAGCATAAGGGACTGTGGTGATGGGTTGTGGGTGTGGTGTGGGAGAATGATAGGGCCTATACCCAAAGGGAGGAAATCAAATATAGTCTAAAATTTAGCAATAATATAAGAAAAGAAATCTATACAAAAATACATTGCAATACCCCATCATGGAATGTTTTTCTACTACAGTAATAATTTTTTCATCTAGTTAAATCAGTATATCCAATATGGAGGGCCTAATAAACAGGCATTCTCTCAAAAGTAAGTATGTGTGAGATATAAAAGGTGGAACTGTTCACTTTATTGACTGTTGATTTTTACATTTCATTGTGCTCTGAGATAGCTTTTTGTGGTGGTAATACTTTGGGCTTTGTTACCAAAACCAAATCCTCCTTCTCTATGATAGCTAAGTGAGTTTTCATGCATGATTAATATGTATCCTCTTAACTCTGGTCAGGCAAACATTTTTCATTAGACATAGATAGCAGTAATTGCTTTTTCTTTGGATAGGTTTTCAGTTTGTTGACAGCTCCTCCTTGAAATAGAATATGTATTGAATTGAGTTTAATATTTGTACTGTACACATGGTCTTTCCAGCTTAAAGAAGACCTTATGTATATATTTCTGTTACTATAGTCTTGATTTTTTTGGCTGTACTTTGATATTGATGTATATGATGCTTATAGTTAAATAGAATTACTTATGCCTTTTAAATGCATGATAGTAAAACTACTTGTATTTGTGTAGTTCCATACAAGAAGGACTTTCTGTGTTTGTTGAATTCTGTTGCATCACTCCTTCATTGTTTTGTTTTGTTTTGTTTTTTTGGTTCAGAATATAGTATATAAGTAACTAACTATAGTTTCTCATTCATAGTTACAAATCTGATGTTGCCTATATGTTCTTTACACTTTTATATAAAATTGATTTGGAAAAGCATAGTACTGATTGCCGCTTAGTATTTGTGAAAGTTCTATGATCTCAGTGATCAAGTTCTGACTTAAATCATTGATAAATACATTTAAGGTATGATATTTCAGTTCAGTTTCTCCATGTTTCCTTTAATGATATAAGAAACTGAAATGCTTTAACTGTAGGTACTAAATTCCTGAACTAGATCAATGTAGTAAAGTAGTAACTTTATTTCAAAATTGATTTTAGAATATTCTAGTAGCCATAACATAATTTAAGCATTTTTAGTATTTCATTTTTGATTTTGCTATAACGTTGATTTATATACTTGTTTGTATATTAGAAGTGTAGAATCCTTCCTCAGATGTGGTAACCATGTGACATCCATAACCAAGATACCTGTCCTCTACCACCATACTCCATAGCACTCCCTCCCTCCCTGACTTTTGCCCTTCCCCCTCCACTGTTCCCTGTGGCTTTCTCTTTAGTATAGTCAGCTTTGTAGTGTCAGTATTTAGATCCCCTTTATCTGACTCTTTGCTTTGTTTCCTCATATCACACATTCAAATCACACTATTTAGTATTTCCCTTTCTCCTTTGACTTGTTTTGCTTAGAATAATCTCTTCCATCTCAATGAATGTTGCCACAAATGGCAAGAGTTTATCTTTTTTGACAGTTGAATAGTACTTCATTGTGTATGTGTAAAACCTTCCTGATCCACTTATCTGTCTTTGTCCATATAGCTTGTTTCCATAGCTTAGTTATTGTAAATAGTGCTGCAGTGAACATGGAAGTGCATGTTTTCCTTTGAATTAGTATTGTATATATGTGTATGTGCATGTGTCTTGATAGTTGGTATATTATATGGCAGATCCATTTGTAATCTTCTGTTTACCATGGTGACTGGCCTAGTCTAAATTCCTACCAACAGGGTAGAAATGTTCATTTTAAACTACTAGCTCATCAGTACTTGTTGTTTTTGGCCTTTTCGATATAGATGATTCTCACAGGTGTGAGGGGCAGCTCACGGTGGTTTTGATTTACATCCCCTAACAAAAATTGATGTTGAACTTGTGCCCGTTGGCCATCTTTATGTCTTTTTCAGAGATGTGCCTCTTTAACCCTTCTGCTCATATTTTGATTGGATTATTTTTTTTCATTTTGTTGAGTTGTATGAGATTTGTATAGATCATTGAAGTCAATTCATTGTCAGATGTGTGGTGTGCCCATATTTTCTGCCATTCATTGTTTTAGTGATGGTTTGTTGTGCTGTGCAGATGCTTTTTAATCTAGTACCAGTTATTCTTACTCTCTTTTGTTATCCTTGTTGCTTAAGACAGATCCACAAGGATACCTCTGAAATCTGTGATGGAATATATTGCCTGTTTTTTCTTACATGTGTTTATTGGTATCAGGTCTTAACATTCACATTTTTCATGCATTTTTAAAAAAAATTAGTTTAAAATAAGCTGTGGGTAGCTTTGATTTAGACTTAAAGATCACATGACTAATTTCCTGACTTTCTTACCTAATTCTCATGTTCCTCCTTTAAAATAAATTAGGAAAGATTGGAAATTTATACTGGAAACTAGACACACAGCATAACTACCTTTATGAGCTGCGGATTTAAATCAGGTCTAATCTTTGCCAAAGTAACATAGACATGACATAAACAAGTTTTATTGTTTAATCATGATAAAGACTCTTAATTCCTTTTTAACTATTACACTTTTAATGAGTTGACATTGGTTTATAATACTACCTTTAAGTTTTAGCAATATAACATCACACATAGATATACCTAAATACCAACACTAAACCCACCATCAGTGGTTTAGTGATACTCATCTCTACCAAATTGACCATCACCAGCTATTCTCCAATACCCCTTTCACTTTTTCTCTGGAAACCCCTATTTTGTTATCAGAGTCAAAGAATTTTTAACTATTATTTTAAATTTGTGCATAGAATATTACTTTCCAATCATCCGTTTAACCCTATGAAAATCATCATTGAATTTTATGTCATAATTATGTGTTTGGACAATGTGTTCTATTTTATTTGAAAATCTATTTCTGATAATAGGGCAATGGCCCTATATAGACTTAATATTTCTAGCAGTAATTTTCAAGGCAGTAGCTTTAAATTTTAGTTTTAATTCTAGTAAATGTGAAATATTTTCAAGACTTATACATTCTTGTGAGAATATGTGACTTTCATGACAGTACAATTTTTAAAGTCATTCAATTAATAAAATTCTGTGGTAGGTTCCTACTTAACCTTTATATTTTATATTTTCAGGCCTTTATAGATAGAAGCATGCAGGTCCTCTTAATGAAAAACTAGTTATATGACTGACAAGTAATAGAAGTTTTTTTAGACTTCATTTTAAAATGTAGAATTTAGAACTTCTGTATTAAAACTTCTATTGTAGTACATGATGGAGACAGGTGTGCAGGTTGTGTCAGGTGACATCATTGAAACACAGACACACAGAAATTCTAAAAGTGATCCTAGGTTTTCTCTCCTCTTCTAATGCGAACATAATCATCACTGTACTTTTATTCCCCTGAGAAATTAACCATTTTATTTCATAAGTTCTATTATCATTCTGAAAGGGAATTCTTCTTTTTGTTTTTGATAATTTAATAAAATAGAAGACAATGAGGGAGCTGTTATGGTCTGTTCTGCCATTAAAATAGAACCACAGTCTGAGAGGTTTATAAACATCAGACATTTGTTTCTCAGAGTTAAGAAGACTTAAAGGCTAATATCAGCTTGTCAGCATGGTTGAGTTATGTCGGCTGCAAATTATATTTCCTCATTTCTCACCTGGAAGAAGT